TATGATTGCATGAGCACAATTCACTGTTTTCCTCTAGCATCAAGGACTTCTGAAGTTTTTCTCATAGTACTGAGGCTATACACAAATCCTGTCTTGCTAGTGATCCCACAAGGATTCTCTTACATATGGCTGTTCTTGCCTGCCTTTGTTCCAGGGAGCATTTTTATGTAATGTGCTGCAATTTTAATTTACCTCCATGATCATGTACTTTTTTGGGTGCCTTCAAGAATCCTAATAATCAGATGATACCAGACTAAGTGAAGGAGATACTTGTTCATATATATTAAGTGCTATTTATCTCTTTTCTGCTTCTGACATACATATTCCGGCAAAATCTACTATGTACTTCTAAATGCAGAGGCCAGATCATTTTAGTCAAGAGAGCTGCCCATTTGCCAGTGACATGCTGTAATCACTGAACATACAGAACAGTTTTTAATAACTTTTAAACAGTCTAAGAAAGAAACCTAGCCAGCTCTCCACTCTGATGTCCCCAAAGACAAGGAAATCAGAACTATTTCCCATCTCAGAGTTTACAGACTATAATATAAGGTCCAAAAGAAATCAGCCATTCAAGATGCACACTGTGAAACACCTCAGGGAATGAATACCACCTTTGCTTCAGTGTTTAACTAAGATACTTTTTTAAAATCAAATTCTACATATTTCGCTTAAGCACATATAAGATGCCTGGATAAAGTTACAGAATTTATATGTAATAATTAAAGACAACAAAAACCAGGATTTTCTAGACTCTTGTGTACATGTTATCACAGTATGCACATTTCACAAGAGTTACAGAAGATGCCTGAAGAAAGATCCCAAATACCAAGCCTGCAGTCAATTTCCTTTGTTAAATCCATCCTCTCTACAACAGCAAAAACACAATAAATAACTTTCATGCCTATGAATATTCTCGTCCTAAAATTGTCATTAATATAACATTATTGCAATTCCAAGTACCACACTAGAACTGATTTTCTAGAATTGATTGCCTAGATTTTCAAGAAGAATTTTTTCGAATTAAGCATTTAAATAAGTAGCTTGATTGTCAAAGTGATCTGAGACCTCAGTACCTGCCAGTGGACTTGTGCTGCTTTGGAAAATCAAGTTACTTATTTAGGTGGTATATATGGACCTGAAACCCCAACTTAATTGCTGATGTAATTTGTAGTCCCAAATCATTTAGATGTCTAATGCCAAAAATCCCACCCAACTTCATCCCAAAAAAAAAATCACAAAATAAAACAAAAATCAATTGTTGCTACTACTGCTAATAGGGGCAACCCAACATAAGAAACATCAAATCTCAGCTCTTTACCAAAGATTCTTTAAATGTCACTATTTGGTTGTTTCTGGAAAAAGGAGAATGATGTTTGGGAAGAACTACTGACTTTTGTACTAGAGCTGCATTTGTACCTCATTTCAGAGCCCCTTGTATGTTCTTATGAGCTAATTACTATATTAACCTTCAGTGCTTAACTGTAGTGCCAAAAATTGTTTAAATAAGCTAATCATACAGGATTTAATTCAAGCACATGACAAAACATACTGTGGCAAGATCCTCACCCAGGCCCCTCACCCTGGGATCCCTTCTTCAGCCACAAATCAACCAGGGACCCTTAAAATGAGGCTTATTGGGCATTTTAAAAGGCTTTATTTTCCGAAAGATCCCCGTCTAGACTGGCGCTTTTTTCCGGCAAAGCTACGAGCAGAAAAAACCGGCAGCCATGTTTATGCAAATGAAGCGGGGGGATTTAAATCCCCGCTTCATTTGCAATTGCGATGTGTCTAATTTGCATCCCTTTTACGGAAAAGGGATGCAGTCTAGACACAGCCGTAAAGAAATAATGATACTTAGGCAAGGTATTAGCAAAACAAATCAAACAACATTCCATCTCCTGGGAAAGCATATAACACTAGACAATACAATTCATTTGACCAAAACAGCATGTTCAGTCTTAAAAGAATTTTGCACTATTGCTTTCCTAGCTCTTTTTTTTGGAGGAGGGGGTAGAGATTTATCTTGTAATATCTAAACCTCACTGGACTGTGTCATAAACAACAATCCCAACACAAGCTAGCTATCTCTATGTAACTATACAAAGATTACAATCTTAACTATGCAAATGTGACTTGCCTGTGAAAATTCTGACATAATCCTACATAAATATGCCAAACCAAGGTTCTTTTTCCAAACTAAGCATCCACTGCACACAATACTATGATGAAATTTTAAATAGTGGAGCTATATAGTGAGGAACTAAAAATGTTTTATAGTTCAGACAGAACAGAAGGGTTTCTCTGTTGATGCTTCTAAACACTAGTACTTTATTTATATATGTTTTACACATGTTTGTGGTACACAGTAGGGATGTAAGCGAGTAGTCGACTGCCCAATAAGCCTAAATGTATTGGGTAATAGTCAACTACTTGCTCTTACTCCCTCCTCCCCCTCTGCCTTGCTGCCTCTAATTGGCCTAGGGGGAGGGGAGTGAGGGAAGTCTCCTCCCCTGCCAGGTGCCTGGGCTCCTTGGGGGGAACTTGGGGTGGGGGTAATGGCACTCCCTCACCTCCAGACCAATAATTGTCTGGGGGTGGGGAACCCGGAAAAATCTTGGCCCTGCCCCTTTCCCTCAATGCCACGCACATTCCTGTGTGGCCCAAGGCCACTTCAAAAATTTCCAAAGTGGCCCCCAGCAAAAAAATTATTGCCCACCTCTGCATCTTTTTTTTTTTAAACACATAATCTTAGCCCAACTGATTTTTAAACCATGTTCCCTGACACTTGTATAACCAAAACAACAGCAGTATGTTGGTCAGCTGATCACAAAGGATTATTGCCCTAAATACCAATGAGGACAGTCTTAGTATTTAGTGCCAAAACTGAATACCTAATGAAGACTTACTCGAACAGAACTACTATGCAGTTTAATCTTACAATCTAACATTGAACAAATGGCTAATTTGTTCCTGCAGCTGACATAGCAGGCACACAAATGAGCATGATTTTTATCTTGTAAATACTACCTCAATCTTTTTTAAGTAAGATGTACAGTCAGACTACAAAATTATGTGGTAACCGTGTCCTGTAGAGTAACCTACCAACAGTAGAAATGAAGCTGAATAAAAAGCTAATTTTATATTCTATTACAACATTCCTTATTAATACTTCTTCCAGATTTACAAACTCTTTAGTTTTTTGTAGAAATACAGATTTGTGCATGTTGAAAATTAAAAGGTATAAAAAACTTATCTAGCAATTAATAATAATGACCCCATACAAATACAAAAATATAAAGCTTTACTAACAATATCATAAGCAGGCCAAATCGAGAAAAACATTCCCTGGTAACTGTAGTTTGTTGATAGGTGGGGCCTTTGACAAGGCAATCGTCTAGGTAAGGGAAGATGATGACATTCTGTCTTCTGAGAAAGGCTGTGACTACGGCTAGCGTCTTCAAGGACACTTGTGGGGCCGTAGAGAGACCAAAGGGGAGGACTTTGTACTGGTAATGGTCTGGGCCTATGACAAATCTAAGAAATTTCCTGAGCGTCAGGTGGATGGTTACATAAAAATATGCATCTTGGAAGTTGAGGGCTGAGAACCAGTCCCCTTTGTCTAATGCAAGTAAAATGGTTGCCAGGGTCACCATCCTGAATTTTGTGTTGCGGATGAAGTTGAGTTTCCTGAGATCCAGGATTGGTCTCTATCCCCGTTTTTTTGGCTGTGAGGAAATAATTGGAGTAGAACCCTCTCCACCGGTATTCTTTGGGGATGTTTTCTATTGCCCCTAAGGTGAGTAGCTTTTGTACCTCCGCTTGTAATAGGGGCTCATGAGATGGGTAAAAGGGACAGGGTAGGAGGCTGCACAAGGGGCACAGATGTGAAGAGGATTGTATATAACCCGAATTGATAATTTCCAGGACCTATTTGTCTGTAGTAATTTGAGCCCATTGTTGGTAGAAGGGTCTCAGGCGGTGATGGAAAGTGGCATTGGAATGCACTGGAACTGTGGGGTGGTCACCCTGACCAAGACTTCAAATTTGTTGTTTGAGAGAGGTGGATTGAGTAGTGGAGGACTGGTTTTGCTGCATCCTCCACCTGTTAGGGCATTGCTTAGATCTGTTATCATATTGTCTTTGGTGTTGCCTATAATAATTGTAATTATAGTCCCTAGGCTTTTGGTAGGGGGTATATTTGTGTTTCTTATTAGGTGGAGTGTACATCCCCAGAGTGCAGAGTGTGGTACAAGAGTCCTTCATAGAATGTAGGACTTCATCTGTGTTGTTGGCAAATAGTGGTCTTCTATCAAAGGGAAGGTCCTCCATCTTTAATTGCAGTTCTTTTGGGACCTCTGATGATTGCAGCCACAAGGCTCTATGCATTGCAATGGCTGTGGCCATGGCTCTAGCCGCATTGTCTGCGATATCCATAGCAGCCTGGAGAGCCGTTTTCGCTATGGATAAGCCCTCCTTAATGATGGACTGGAGCTGAGGTTGCTTCCTGTCAGGAAGGTCCTGTAACAGGTCTTGTAATTTGGCATAATTGGCATGATTGTAATTGGCCAGAAGGGCTGTATAATTTGATATGAGGAACTGCAGGGTGGCAGAAGAGTACTTGTGGCCAAAGGTGTCCAACCGCTTGTGCTCTTTATTGCGGGGCGTAGTGGGTTCTTAAATTGTGGGTTCTTAGCCTTGTGATTAACAGAATTTACCACCAGTGAGTTAGTCTGGGGCTGTGCAAAGAAAAAGTCCATATCTTTTGCCAGGACAAAATATTTTCTATCCACTTGACTGTTTTTAGGGGGAATAGAGGCTAGATTTTGCCATAGAGCATCTGACGTTTCAAAGATACTTTCATTAATGGCCAGAGCTATCTTCCAGGATACTGTGCGTTGTACTATTGCCAGTAATTTGTACTGTTTATTTTGTACCTCTTGAAGTGTAATGTCTTATGATTGGGCTACCCGCTTAAACAGTTCTTGAAATTGTTTCAGATCATCTGCCGGTGGGGAAGGCAATATCTCGAAGACTGCTTCATCCGGTCTAGTAGATCTGGGTTTGTGTGAGTCCGAGTGAGGTAGGTTATTGTGATCATTAGAACCTGTTTGAGATATTACTGAGGGTGGGTGAGCCAGTGAGGAATGTGTGGAAATTGTGGGGGAGTGCCTGAAAGTGTGCTGTTGTTGCAATGTAGAAGCTGTATGTCTTGAATGGTAGCATGGTGGGAGCATGTTCGGTACCCTTGCCATGTATCCCAGGGGACCCATTGAACTGCTGTGGGTAGTACATCTGCGGTAGATTGGGCCACAGGGGATGCTGTTGGAGGGAATGACCCCTATATGAATTCCAGGAAGCCAGTGATGGAGAAGGCGATGAATGGCATGATGAGAACCTACTCCTATGCCCACTATAATAGTCAGCTCTTGGGGAGAGTGGTGTTGGAGAGTGGGGAGCATCTTGTGACATATTAGTGTGCCCCTGGGAGTAAGACACTGCGATGGAGTACAGTGAGCAGACTCCTGCTCTTCTGTCTGGCTGAGGAGCTTTTTGTACGTGCTGTGTCTTGTGCAGCACTTTCTTATGCTGCAATGCTGAGGGGCAGTCAGGGTCATTCTGCCCAGTCTGTTCAGGGACTGAAGGAGAGCTTACAGGAGCTGATGGTTGGGGCATATACAGCTTCGTTGGTGCCGGTGACTCTGTAGTGCCAACCAGTGCAGCAAGTTTGGATTCTGCCTCAGCTCTCCTGGCTTGTGTTTCTCCATGATGCCGGAAACTGACAGCACTGGAAAACAAAAGGCTCTGGGAAACATTGATAGTGAGCATGCCAGGGAAGTTTGCGTGGCTTGAGAGCCTTTGCAGGGAGATGAAGCAGTCCTGTCAGCGGGCTTTTGCTGTCTCTGTGTGTCCTCTGATTTGTCCTGTGAGGGTAGTAGGGACTTCTCTCATAGGAGGGTTTTAAGCCACATTTTACAATCTTTTCTGGCCCTAGCTGTCATGTTCAAGCAGTGAGGGCACTTACGTGCTACATGAGAATCCCCCAGGCATTTAACACAGGAAGGATGGCCATCCGAGATAGGCATCGAGTCTCTGCATGAATAGCATCTTTTAAAGCTGGGGGAACCCGGCATGCTAAGGGAAAAAAAGCCGCCGCAGTTGACTTTTTTTTTTTCTTTTTTTTTCCTTTGTTTTTCTTTTTAGTATAACGAATGTTGAAACTAGCGATAATTGACTAACCTATGAGATAAAAGTCTAAACTAACTCTAATAATCTTTTTTTTTTCTTTTCAAGAAGAAGAGCACTGCTCTGACTCTGTCTTCAGCTGAGGACGGTAGAAAAGGAACTGACGGGACTCGTGCCATGAGCACACTCCACAAACGGCGGGGGCACAAAACACTAGGTGCACATCCGCAGCGCAAGGGGCACTGCTCAGCAAAATTCTCCGATCCCAGGAGCAAGGATGCACCGAGATCTGAGTGGAGCACCCACAGGGACACCACTTGCTGAAGAACTCTACATTACAGAAAGGAAGAAAGAGAAACATTACTAAAATATTCATATCTTGATAAATTTCTCTTATCCTAAGCCAAATCTGTATTACAAGTATGACCTGCTCAAAGTTGTTCTTGAAGAGTCTCCCTCAAATGACAGATGCATTCCACTTTCCACATCCAAAAAGACACACTACAACATCACCACTCAGGATACTGTGGTACAATATCCAAAAAAAATCTCTATGCCATTTTAGATCAGAGAAGTGAAAATGAAAAAGTTTCAGCATTACAAACATGAAGGTAATACTGTAAAAACAGTAAAAGCAGAAGAGTGAAAACAGTTAAATGCCTGAAAATAGTTACTAAATGAATGTGTTACCATATGCCATACAAAAAGTTTTCCAAGTAAAAGCATAACAAAAAAAAGTTAAGATGACAGATTTGCTCAATCTGACAAAGAATCTTAGAAATTAAATAGCATCTTATGTAAATGAATTGAGTGTTTATGCCCCATATCAACAATGAACACAGAAAATAATACTTAGGGAAGTTGTTCCAGTCCCAGAGTAGGGAAGTAGTGAAGGAAGAGATTTGCTACAAACCAGATGCTGCAACACATTCTAAAAAAACTGAAATAAAGACACACAAAACTCAGAAATTCATAAGAAATAAGGTTACACTTTTGCCCCCAACCAATTCATTTATTGTTTGAGAACAAGACAATCCTTGGCAGGCATTCATATATTTAGTTTACAAATTCTGCTGATGCCATTCCCACAGGATGTGAATTGGTGAGAATAGATGGCTCTGAGGACCAACAAGTAACAATCAGCAACACACGATTAAAAAGAAGCTTCAAAGTGTCACAAAGAAGCCAATACATAGATTATCCTCTACACTGTGGAAGGTATTTAGCAGTTCTACTAGTGACAATAATTCTCACATCTATTAATTTGGGGGTGACACAAGGATTATGAATGAATTAATCAACGGTTTGGAGGAAGGGGAGAAATATTCTTCTTAAATCAGCTTTTGCACATCCTCATCTTTGAAGATAAGCATGTCACAAGTACACAGTGTCCTTTGAAGCCACTCATCCTTCCTGCTTTCGGAGATCCAAGCACTTCAAATGGGGGAGGATCAATGTAACCGATGGTACAGAAATTTTGTGACCTTGATTTTTCCCTTTGTTTTTACCTATTTTTCCCTGCCATTTATGGTATAGTTTTGTTTCTACATCAGCTAGTCTTTTTGTACCTGACATAAGCAGAATTGATACCCAGTAACTAGTCCAAGTCAACTTAGTTTGTATCTGAGGAATTGGCCCAATTATCTGCAAGTAAGTGCTCACAAACATGGCTCTATGGCTGGTACAAAAGACACTGGGGACCTTGGACTCAATTCTGCCAATATGGGATCAAACATTCAGCATTACTGCGAAAAGTTACTTAGTTTGACTATGCCTAGCACACATGGCATCTAGGTCTCCAGCTTCACATGGGTGGCAAAGTTCAGTGCAAAGAGCTTTCAGTGCAAAAATACTGTTCACTAAAGGTAGTTCCACAGCTAGGTCTCCACTCTGTTCCTGGTAGAAAGATTCTGCAGGGTATGAAGCTCCACAAAGTGTACATGCTAGGTACTATTCGTCTACTCTTTAAGAATTTCTCCCAGGCTTACCTAAATTATGACAGACACCACTAGAGTGATGTAGTGCAACTACCATTGATGGATTTGGTCTCGCTTGCCGTGTCAAATCATATCCTCACCATCAGATTACTCCAATTACTTATTTTCGTGTAGATAAAGTATCAGAATTCTTTATTTATGGAACTTTTAACCTTGGTTTGCCCTTTGGTAGATTCAAGACTAATCTAAACTATGCAGATCTCAAAACAATTCTACATAGTAAGATTTCTTACTATCTTCCATGGACAAGAAGCTTAAATGGAAAATGGTTTGAAGAGAAGACCTGACAACAGTAGCCTGACAAATGCCTCTACGCAACTATGTAGACTATGAAAAAGGCTTCAATTTAATTTTCTGTCCTAAATTGTACAATATACCTAATCTTTTAGCAATGAAAAAAAGAACTGACATATAGACTTTCTTAAATGGCTAGATTTATAGTAATTATTTATTTTATAAACAAATGGGTAAAGTACATACACTCTTTTACTTTTACATATTTCATTATATACAGAGAAGAGCTGGTGCTATTTCCCAAAACACTGAAGACAGACTGCTCTTTAAAAACAGTTTCAGTCCAAATGACTGTAACTGTTTTCTTAAAGCCCACCCCGAGTCCAGGTGGTACACTGTCCTAAGTGGGAGCTCCGCTCCCCGTCTGGGCCTCTGGCCTTATGGCAGCACTTGCGCCGCCGGGGCGGATCGAGCCTATGTGTCTCCCCAGGGGGACCGGGAAGGGGGCTCGGGCCCTCCCTCACTCCGAGCCCCGACCCAGGGCCCTGAGAAAGGGGACATGCGTCCCCTGTCAGTGGAGGGGGTCAAGTTTCCCCCCAATCCTCCACTCGCGGGGTTTCGCGGCCCTGCCCTGGGTCCCTTCTTCCCGGTCAATGTTTTATGGATTCCCCCAGCGTGGGGACAAGCTTACCCTCCGTCCGCTTCAGATGCCTCCTGGACGCCCGGACTCCTCAGGGTTGGGGTCCTTCCGCCGGTCCTGGGACTCCCCCCGGAGTCGGGCACTCTCCTCCTCCTCCCGGCTGAGGCCGGGGCCTTTTTGAATTCCCCGCTCCTTGGCGCCTTGGCCTGACGTCACCACCGTGTCCCGGTCCCCGCCCTGCTTGCTATCTTGGCCGGCGCCTTTGCTGACGTCATCCCCTAGCGCCGGCTCGGGCCGTCCATTATCGGCCGTGCTGGTGCTCGGCGCTACCGCCCCGCGCTCCGTGGCGCAATTCCCGTCACCCAATCTCCCCTCCCGGTCTCTGCCCCCCTCCTTGGGGCCTGTCTCAGTGCGGGGTCGGGTGGGGGGTCCGCCTACCCCGTCACAATGACACAAATTGATAATAATAAATTAAGATTACAAAAATGTAATGATGTCATGTCACAGATTTTGTAAGGCACTGACTTAGAACCACATGACATTTTGGTTAAAAAAAATTAGAAAGACAGAAAATGAATAAGTTCATTTACACTCATTAGATTGATTAATAACCAGCTAACAGAGATCTCAAAATGTAACTGCAACTGGGGAATCTTTAAGCAAATGCATCTCGACTGGAATATTGCATGAATTGGTTCTTGGTGCTCTGTTAGTTAACACTTTTATCAGTAGCCTGGAAGAAAAAGTCACTAGGAAAAATTCTGAAGATGACACCAGAATTGTAGTAAATAATGTTGGAAACAAGTCACGGTATAGAGTGACCTAGATTGCTTAATACACCGGGCACAAGTAAATTATAAGTATTTTAATACAACTAAATGTAAAGTTATACACCTAATAACAAACACCATAGTTACAAGATAGGGTACTCTATCCTAGGAAGCAATGACTGAAATAGATATGGGGATCAGGAACTGAGTTCCCGGTACAACATGGTGGCCAAAAGAACTAATGTGATTCTCAAGAGGCAGTTCTAGCAGCTGAAGATCAGCTAGGCATGTTAATACATTGTCCACGCCACCATGACAGCTCTCAAGTGTGCAAAGATTCCCTCAAAAACTAATATAATTTATACCATTATAGAACTACCAGGCACCAAAGAGGTACAATTTGCATTGCTGTTAAACAGCCTGAATACTTTTATTTTAAAGTTACAGAGATTTCTTTGGGGATGGTGGAACGGTTGCTATCCCACATGGGAAAAGTAACAAGCTATTGAAAATGATGTTCTCTATGCCATATCTTAGTCTGATGTAAAATAAAAGATTGAATCCTAAACTATTCCTCTCCCACACTATCCTGTCACATACACACACACCAAAAATATCAGATTAACGACAATAACCCTATGAGATACCATTATAAACCTAGTTTTATCCATTAAGGAACACATTTTTCAAGCTAACCAATGAGAAAAATCTGCCACTGATTTCTAACACCATTATTGCCTCCATGGGTGTCAAGGCTGTTCCCCACTCTGGCACTTCAAGTGCAGAGGATGGGGGGGGGCACAAGAAACTTTAAAATACCCTTCTGCTTAAAAATTCCCCAGGGTCATAGATTCCCTGACCTTGGGTGATATGGCGGCAACACCCATTCTCTTTGAGAATCTAGAAGGACACACTTGGGAATTTCTTCCTGTGGGGTACCCTCAAGTTCTTTAACCGTCCATCTGGAGAGAGCTTGAAAACAAACTAACATCTTAATTGCAGACCTTTCAGTCCCAGGAACATGCACACAGAACCTCCTGTCTTCAAGGGCACAGGAATCAGATCGTAGTCTTAAAAATGTAATTTTATTAACAAAACAAAGAAATCATATTTGGTAAAGCACACTTGTGCCTCTTGCGCCACTCATTTGAAGAAATGGGTTGTGCCCACGAAAGCTCATAATTAATACAGGTGACCCCCGACTTACGACCACCCTATTTACGAATCCCTGCATTTATGACTTTTTTTTAAGACAATCTTCTTGTATGTCTGTAATGGGAAGTAAGACTTTCCCCTCCTGCACATGCACCTTGCCCCTCCTGTACATGAGCCAGCTACAACTCCTGCAGCAGGCATGCTTTGCCACCTGGCTATTTCAATGAGGCAGGTGGCTCCCACAAGCTCTGGCTCCCAGAAGGCCGCCCAGCTTCTGTAGGCAGCCCTGCCTGCCTCTGTGCCGGGACGAGGGATAGCTCAGTGGTTTGAGCATTGGCCTGTTAAACCCAGGGTTGTGAGTTTAATCCTTGAGGAGGCCATTTAGGGATTTGAGGCAAAAATCTGTCAGGGATGGTACTTGGTCCTGCTGTGAAGGCAGGGTACTGGACTCAATGACCTTTCAAGGTCCCCTCCAGTTCTAGGAGAGGCAATCTCCATTCATACCTCTGGGGCACGGCCGGCACCTCCAGGGCATGTGCCCTCCCCCAGCAAGCTGGCGACAAGGCAGGCTGCCCCTACCACTTCCTACAAGTGGGTCTGCCTGTCTCTGTGCCGCATGGCTCCCAGCAGGCTGCTGCCTGCCAAATCAGCTTCCCAGCCCCTTTAGCTAGGCTGCTTCCCCCTCACCCCAACCTGCTCCCCGTGTCCCCCGCAAACAA